TCATTGAATTAAAAACTCTTAATGCATAGATTAAATTTGTAAAATTTAAAATTTGTAAAACTATTTAATACTTCATTTCGTTAATTCAAATCAATATAATTTTTTTTAAAATTATTTTCTAATTTGAATTAATGACAAGGAGTATAAAATAGATTTTAATTTTTTAAAAAAGTTTGGAAACTTGATTTCATTAAGAATTTTCAATTTAATGATTAGATCAATAAAATTTGGTGTAAAACATGAGACTGTAGATAAATTTACTCTTAGGATAAATAAATCCATCCATATATTAGAATTCTTTGCATAATGCAAGCCTAAAACCTTATACCTTCAATTACTTTTTGGTATAATTTCAAGTTTAATGAATTATGTAATATTGTATTCAAAATCATGTTCACTTGGATTCAAAATCATTTAATAGTTCATCATATATTATTTAAACATACAATATAATAGTTAAAATTTGTAAATATCCATGATAATATATTAAAAAAATTTAAATCATAAAATTTGATATACATAATCATGAGTATAATATCATATAATTTAATAATTGAATCATTTAAATTTGTATTATATAAAAAAATTATTGATAGTACAAAATTTGATGCTAATTTTTAGACTTATATCACTTATATTTATATATATATGACTTAGAATAAGAGAATGATTTTATTATTATCATTCATGCATATTACATTTTTCTTACACCTATTTGTAACAATCTAAGCTTTCAAAATAAAGAAATAAGGAAAAAATATTTAAAAAATAAACTAGAAGATTCTACAAATATTTTCTCTAATTAGGAAGATTTTCTTCTAATTACAACACTCCCCCTCAAGTTGGTAAATGAATATCAATCATTCCCAACTTGCCTACAAGATCTTGAAATCTACCTTGAGGGAGCCCTTTTATAAAGATATCTGCTATCTGAAGTTCTGTAGGAACATGAGTTGTAATCACAAAGCCTCTGTCTAGATTATCTTTGATGAAATGTCTGTCAATCTCAATGTGGTTGGTCCTGTCATGTTGTACTGGATTATGGCAATGCTCATGGCAGACTTATTGTCACAGTATAGTTGCACGAGGTTTCCACCTTGACTTTAAGGTCATCCAAAATAATTTTCATCCAGAGTCCTTCACACATTCCTTGAGCAAGGGCTCGAAATTCAACTTCTACACTAGAACGAGATACTTTATCTTGTTTTTTGCTCCTCCACGTTACCAAACTATCTCCAAGAAACATATAATACCCAGAAGTAGATTTTCTATCAGTAATAGAACCTGCAAAGTTAGCATCAGTATATATTTTCATAGTCAATGTGTCTTCCCTTTTGAACAATAGCTCTTTTCCTGGACTTGACTTCAAGTACTGGAGAATTTTGTCAACTGCTTGCATGTGTCTCTCTCTTGGATCATGCATAAATTAGCTTACTACACTAACTACATAAGCAATGTCTGGTTTTGTGTGTGATAGATAAATCAATTTTCCTACCAATCTCTGATATTGGGCCTTCTCTACCCGAACACTTTCTTCACTTCCAATTCTGTGATTCTGTTCTACAGGAACTATTGAGGTTCTACATCCCAGCTTTCTTGTTTCTTTGAAGAGATCAAGTACATATTTCCTTTGGGAGATGAAAATTCCCTTAGAGTAAGCAACCTCTATTCCAAGAAAATACTTGAGTTTTCCTAGGTCTTTCATTCCAAATTGGGATGCCAATTTTTCTTTTAATGCCAATTTTTTTATTTTATCATCTCCTGCAATAATCATATCATCCACATAGACAAGCAATAGAGTGAGTTTACCTATAGAAGAGTGCTTTATGAATATAGTATGATCTCTTTGGCATTGTCTATATCCCAAGGAAACCATTGCTTTTGTAAATCTTCCAAACCATGCTCTAGGGGTTTGCTTAAGACCATACAATGCTTTCTTTAGGAGACATACCTTGTTTCTTTCATTTTGCACTTGAAAACCTGGGGGAATCTCCATGTGCACTTCCTCTTCAAGATTTCCATGAAGAAAGGCATTCTTCACATCCAACTAGTGTAAGTCCTAACCAAAATGAGCAGCCAAAGCGAGAACAACTCGAACTGTATTCATCTTTGCCACTGGGGAAAACGTCTCCTCATAATTAATCCCATAAGTTTGGGTATAACCTTTTGCCACCAATCTAGCTTTATATCTTTCTATTGTTCCATCTGCCTTATGTTTCACTGTGAATATCCATCTACATCCTACTGCCTTCTTGTCTCTTGGCTTATCAACAATCTCCCAAGTTGAATTTCTTTCTAATGCATTCAACTCTTCTTTCATGGCTTGAGTCCAATGTTCAAGTTTCATGGCCTCCTGGACTGAGGTAGGAATTTCTGTGGCATCAATGACAGTAATAAAGCTTCTGTGCTTATCAGAGAGATTGTTAGGACAAATATATCAAGAAATAGGATATTTAGCGCATGACCTTCTTTCCTTTCTTAATGCAATGAGTAAATCCTCAGTAATACTTATCTCCTCACTATTATCTTCAAGGATCCTCACTTCAGGATTAGACAATTTTTCTTGCTCAAGAGTCAAAGTGGATTATTTTTTTCTTTCATATTTTTTGCCAAAAAATTTGTCTTCTTCCTCTTCTTCCGTTTCTTCCTCGCTGTGGACCATGGTAACATCATTGCTCAAATTTTGGGCATCCTGCAATGACAAATATGGTAATGACAAGAAGGAGAGCTCCTCTACTTCAAGTGTTTTCTCCCCTTGAAGTGGTGGACTGGGATTAAATGATTGGGTTTCATGAAAGGTGACATCCATGGTGATAAAGACACGACGACTCTAAGGATGATAACATTTGTACATTTTTTATTAGAAGAATACCTAATAAAGACATATTTAAGAGCTTTGGGATCTAATTTACTACGATTAGGATGATGAGAGTAAACAAAAATAATACATCCAAAGACTCGACTAGGTAGACTCGATATTAGGGGGGAAGAGGGAACAAAAGACAATAGAGACTCTATAAGACTAATGCCATTTAAGATACGGGTGGGTAACCTGTTGATGTGGTATGTGGCAGTTAACACAGCTTCTCCCTAATAATTTTTTGGAATAAACATTTAAAAAAGAAGAGTTTTAGTTACTTCAAGAAGATGACGATTCTTTCCTTCTGCAATCCCATTTTGTTGAGGGGTGTTCACACATGTTAGTTCATGAACAATACCATTGAGACAAAAAATTGACAAATTCATGATTCACATATTCAGTACCATTATCAAACCTGATTCTTTTGATATTTTTTTCAAATTGATTTTGGACAAGGCGAAAAAAATTAACAAAAATTTAGAAAATATCTGATTTATTTTTCATAAGGTATGTCCACGTAACATGGGTACAATCATCAATAAAGGTAACGAACCATTTGGCTCTGAAAATAAATTCTACGACAGGTCCTCAAATGTCAGAGTGAATTAAATCAAATGGAGAAGTACTTTTTTTTTATTACTAATAAGATAGGATGCACGATGGTGTTTTGACAATTGAAAAATATCACAATTAACAGACTTAACAGACTCCTTAGTAAACAAATGAGGTAATAAAGACTTGATAAGGTTGAATGAAGGATGCCCAAGCCTTATATGATGTAGCCATATTTGGAATTTGCCCACGTCTCAGATGTAGCTTGTTGACTCATGATTTTTGTTTTGTTTTGGTTATCAGATTCTAACAGATACAACCCACTCTGCTCCTTAGTAGTTAAAATCATCTTCCCCGTAACAAGGTCCTGAAAAACACAATGAGTCGAGAAAAATGTTACTGAACAATTTAAATATTTTGTGAGCTTTTGCACATAGATAAGATTATTGACTAATTGTGAAACATGTAAAACATCCTTTAATACAATAGATGATTCCAAAATTATATTCCCAAAGCCGCATATGGGTACACCTTGACCATTCGTAACTGTAATAAGTTGTTCTCTATTCCTTTTAATATATGATTTGAAGATCATACGAAAATGTGTCGTATGATCAAGTGCTCCCGAATCAAGAATCCAAATACCTTGAGACACAGGATCCACAGTATGGAGAGAACTCTTACCTTTCATGGACAAAGTACATGGTCCAGAGGACTTATTTATTGATTCAATCATTGCTTTCAAACGATCTAGTTCCTTTTTGAAAGCTTTCATCTCAAGATTTGATGGTGGTAACGTAATGGACTGATTCGGCGACTGTCTATGGCGACAACAATGAGTGGGCTACATCGAAAAAAGAGCAAAACCTAAAAAAAAAAAAACTCAAATCTACTAGAATCTAAGCCAAATGGGACGTCACCGACCCGTGAAACGTACTTAGGAGGCCTCGACAATCGGTTCTGTGATAGCGACGACGAGTGGGCTCGTCGGAACTAGGCACATGGACTACACGCGCAAACGACAATGGTGGCGCATGGCGACATCTTTCCCAGAGCAATTTCCAGCGTTATGTTTGTTAGAGGAGGGCGCACCTTTCTACCCTATCAACAGTCCCTATGATGAGATGACAGTCGCAATGGCCGGACAACAACAATGGTGGTTACTGTTGCAACGAAAAAGAACTCCCAAGATCGAGAGTTCTAATACTAACTTGGAAAAAGAAAATGATTTTATTATTATCATTCATGCATATTACATTTTCCTTACACCTATTTATAACGATCTAATCTTCCAAAACAAGAAAATAAGGAAAAAAATATTCTCAAAAATAAACTATTATGATATTTTTTCTAGTTAAGAAAATTTTCCTCCAATTACAACAATATGTGTGTGCAGGTGGGGGGACGGGGTGCGGGTTGTGTTTGTACAAAAACATATTTAAGCCAAGATGTTTAAAACTTTATTTAGATTTAAAAGCACGTATAAAATTCAATTTATCCATAATATATAAAATATGTTATCCCAAAATTCAAAGTCTAGCAATTATGTAACAACAATAATCGGATAATAGCATTTACATAATACAAATTAACGTAAAAAAATAACACTTTTTTTTTTGTTTTCATTATAATGTTATAAGTGTAAAAGCAATACATATACATCCACCTTTCTAACCAATAACAAATTTTTAAAATAGAGAGGAAGAAACACAGATACAAACTTGGACAAAATGAATGAATTGGACCTGTCTATTGTCTAGTGTCTTCATTGCTACAATATGCAAACATTGCAAGAGGCAGCAACAATCTAAAAGGAGAAACTAAACATCACTCTCCATGCAGCGTCACATTCAAACTTAGACACTAACCACGGCTACTTCCATTATATAGGCCGAAAGCAAAACGCTAATGATATGATCCAAACTATGGTATATATACCCAATAAAACCACACTATCCAACAGATAAGATCATTTTAAGATAACTGAGGAAAGCATGCTAGCTAAAGAAGCAGAGGTCACTTGTTGATTTCAAGTCTAGAACAATTCGAATTTCTTTTTCAGCATGTCCTGCTTCCATCTTGGCAACTTGTAAAATGATTCTTTATCCATTCCAAATATAGTGTTGAACTCCTCGTCCGACAGATAAGCCTGGCCAACAAGTGGAGAAAAAGAAAAATGCTTATCAATCTAAAGCATAAAATTAAAGGGGAATAATATACCTGCCCTAAGATTTGAAATGTTGAGAATAAGTAAATAGACCCAAAGTGCGACAATTCATGGGAGGCGCTTGTAATTTGTCCCATTAAAGGGTGTTTGTAATAATTCAAGATTTCAGGAGACATTTCAAACTAAATTAATATAATATTAAATCAGTAGAAAGCAAGACTAACCTCTCTCCGTTTGTTATCTATTCCAGGCACATTATGACCAGATTTAGTCTTTAATTGATCATAACTGAACGTCATTTGACTATCATTTCCCTCCTCTGCATTTTCTTGCTTCGGTTCCAAATCCTCATTGCTACCAGTTGCAGGGGCAAGTTCCTCTATTTCCTTGGCTTCTGTAACTTCTTCAACTTCAGAGAAATCGCTTTTAATTTCTGCAGCAAGAACTAATGATCAGATGCGCACAAAAATGATCGTGCATGCGTTGATCAATTTTGTTTAACACAAAACTGGCATTTTAATTCCATGATTCCTATGAATGGGAAAGAAAAACCTAAAGTTATTAAATGGTATGTGCTGATTCTTCTCTTAAATATCAATAAAGCCAAGGGATTTAAAGATGTTCTGAGAATGTAGTACAACAATGTAGTGCTTAGGTCTCCACTCTTTGTAGTTTACTTGAACGTGGTCAAAGTAATAGTCACCAAAATGAAATCAGGTAATTACTGTATATATTATTATGATTAAAGAATAGCATATAATTAAAATTGAACAAAAAAGATTTACATTAGTTATTCAAAGGAGATGTCCAAAAAAGTAATAGGCTGTTGTAAATATTCAACCCAGCAAACCCATTGTATTCGGTGAATAAACATCACATTTAGATAATAACAACTATGTTTCTTACCAGTAGCGCTAATTTCTGTGACAGGACTACCGATAGACACAGGAGAACCATCAGGAGATTTTTTCTTTTTTTCAGCTGTAAGAACTGTTGAAAGAGCAGCCACTGCTGCTGCTCTTTGAGATCCTTGACCTCTTCCAGATGCCCTAGGAGAAAAAGACTTCGTCCCAGATGATGAACTAAATGCAGAGTTTAATGCGGCTAAAGCTTCTGCCCTTTGTCTTGGTCCTCCTAGGTTTAACCCATTCAATCTATCTTGTGTCTGCAAGAACGCAAAGGGTTAATTGGTCACCGATGATAATGGAATAATAGAAACCGGATTACCAAAGAAATAACCGCAAAGAAGCAATAATGAAGATATTTAATGCAACACAGATGATCAACCTTCACAGTAATTTTCTTTAATGCAACAAACCCACTCGGCCATTAACTTATTCTCTCTGATCCAGAGAAAGGAAATTCTAAAACTAACCAGTATAACTTCCATTTACAAAATATTCTCTATTTGTCATATATTGCATAAATGCCAATATTCTTTTTGGCCAAAAGGTTTACTTTTGGTTTAAAGTTCATTGACTATATAAGTGGAAAATAAAAAGGTACTGAATTATCTATAAGTAACCATACCATACTGGATGCTTTCTCAGAAGACGAGCTAAATGCATTTGATAAAGCAGCCAAAGCTTCTGCTCTTTGTCTTGGTCCCCCTAGACTTGATCCATTCGACTTATCCTGTCACCAGAATCAGAGAAGCGTTGTTAAGAAGTAGAAGAACACAACAAATTAATTAACCCAACAAAGTCAGACATTATATTTCACACTGACAGCATTGCATCAACACAAGCTTACACAACTAGTAACATAATGTTGAGTTTAGAAGGAAAAAAAGACATTGAGAAACATTGTTAGCTGTACTAGTGTGATAAACCATTAAACTAGAAACATAAAATTCTAGACATGAAAAGCTTTGAGGTTGGTTCTTAAGATAGAGCAGATGAGTTAAAGCAAATCATGAGTCACGAATAGAAACAGCGGTCAAGAATTAAATAATTAAGCTTCAATGTTAATTAAAGAGAAAAGGCATTTCCATAAGTAATTCGTAGTTAATATTATTCTAAAACTTTTCTGCATTGCCATATCGGTTGTTGGATCTATGCAAGTAACACATTGCTTATTACAGAGGTTCAGTTTTAAGCGGTTTAATGTTATATTGTTATATATGATACAATAATCTGTAAACTGGATTACTTGGCATGGTTCAACAACATCGGTTTTTCCAAATAATAATTTGGGCCATACCTCCACAGCATGGCCGATCCCAAAGAGCAGTGCAACCTTTTTCTGAAATGAGTTCCCAAGAACCTGCATTGCATACAGAAAATAAAACATAAAAATTAACAAAGTAAAATACCTGTTTCCCAAACAAAAATTTCGAATTACTCCAGCAATTTTGTCTTGTTATGGTGAACTTCAAAAAGTCTCAAAACCACCACATCATTTTGGAAATTCCACAAATATTTGATCTACTTTTACAAAGTAAATACACTAACTTGGCACTGATTCATGCATGGGTTCAGTACTCTGTTACACAGAATTTTGTGAACCCCATTCATGATGACAATAATATAATGGGATTTCTCTAAACTTGTCAGTCAGCCAATAATTATGTTCTGTTCTCACTCTAAAAGGACATGCATAAATTTATGACTTTACAGCTAACGATAAAGAAGAGTGAGAATAATTTTTCAAAGAAAATAGAAGAGACACGAAACCTTATAAGGGACAATTTTATGTTTATAAGTACATACCATAGCTTTTGCATGATCCCACGAAAAGTATGTTGTGAAAAAGCAAGGTTCGTTCCCTTCTGTTACTTTATATAGCGGTACGTGTGGAGATAGTCCCTCCAAAGATGCAGCCATATCAATGTATTTCTGAGGGAAATTTTTGAAGTATGCCTCAAGATTTTCAAGTAGGAGGAAATATAAGAAATAAAGGATATAAAAGGCATAATTTGTTTAGCATGTTTACCTGGCCAATTTCAAATGCATTTTGCTTTTCCTTTGGGTCAACAGACTGACCAATCCAAATAAACACTTCCGCATGTGTGTCAAGTACGAGGATATCCTCCGTCAATAGGTCATCTTGAGAGAAGTTGTAAACCTCTTCAACCTGCAGAGTAAAATATAAAAATATATTTAGAAGACATAGAGAACCACCAGTGGTTACTGCTGACAAAGTTCCTAAATGTAAGGGGGAATTTTGTATAATGATGTTGCAGTCAGAAAACTCACATTGAACTTTCCTGGTGGATCCACAATGACAAAGAACAAACAAAATCAGAAATGGTCAGTATATCAGTAAATAAATATGCAATTGCATAAAAATATTATAATAAGTAACATGACAAGCAATGCTACCTCTATTAAATGATAAAGTGAATAAATGTGGATCTCTGACAACCTCATTAACAACTTTCTTGCTGGTGTAACTTTGTTTTCCTCCTATTGCAAACCAGAAAGCTGAGCTTTCTGTACCTTCTTTGGCATGCTTTAAAGTAACTCCTGGCTGAAAATGGACTATCACATGAGCAAATAATGTATATAGCATAAATACTATTGTTTGGATGAAATAAAAGAGAAATATAATAGAAAAAGTGTATTTCTTGGATGAATAGAAATAGGATGGAAAGAAATTGAGAATTTATATTCAAGGACAAATTTATCCTTTAAAATATTACTTTTTGTACGACTGTTTTTTAAAAAACAACACACATGAACCCAGCAAAGATTATCTTCCGCTCATACCACCCCACCACCATGTCTATTCTTATTTGCTATAGCAAAATTGAGATGTGGCAACTGCACCAAAATAAAGTTACTTGTTTCCGGGCACAGATGAAGAATAAGCCAATAAGGTGCTGTAAAAAAAATTCAGTGCATTGCCAAAATACCACCACACACTGAATGATTCCTCTGTGCTGCATTGCTCTGACTTTGGGCCAACCTTGTCAGTGTTATGCACAAACTTGATTCATCCATCAAAACAGTGAGCTAAACTTCCAATGAAGCTTCGCAACTTCCCTATAGGCACATATTCTATGTCTCTGCCACCACACTATCGAAACAATGAGCATGGGGACCACAGTTCCAAGGTGTCCAATGATGGTAATTGGAAAAGTAATTAAGTATCACCAACAGCATCCACAGAAGGCATGAAGTATGCTCATAAGCTCTCATTAATTGTCTCTATGAAGAAAACAAGAGAGAAGACAGGATAAGAGTATGCCCTCCATCTGTCTCTTCAGAAATCTCACCTGTCATGGAGAAACTTTTTTTTGTGGTGGACCCTACCTCAAAGAATCTCTCTCCTTCCACCTTTCCATGCACATCCAAACAACTGAAATATGATACTTCTACAATTTTTTTTTTTCTTTTCCATTTCTTCCCTTTCTAATTCTATAACACAAATAAATCATAAGCAAAGAAGTATAACTTAAGTCAAGTCACGTGTAACTTCAAGAGATGCACTTAGGTTTAACCAATAGAATGTATTGCCATACGATATCAAATCAGTTTGAAAGATTTGACCTTGAGGCAATCAATGCTTAGAATTTGGACTTAGAGTCAAACTAACCCATAAAACCGGCTTGTAAAAAGAGAATTACACAAGCTTCCGAACAGTCGTATGTAAATACAAGTTCAAAACTTAATAATAAAAAAAATGCCATAATGTTCTATCTTTTCATGCGTAAATTGAACTTCTTTGTGGAAAGGTAGATCTTTAGCAGTCACCAGACACTCAAATGAGTTAAATTCTATAAAAGTGAGAATTCGTTACCCTTTAAATTTTTATAGAAGTGCTTGAAGAATTTAGCAGAAGATCCACAACATGGGACAATATATCTTACCCTTAAAAATTCAGCAACCTTTGCTGCAAGCTGTTGCTGCTCAAAGGAACACTGATTTCCATGCCAAGTGAAAATTGTAGAGCCAGATTGCAGGACAAAACACTCGGTAGAATTCAATGATGATGGCACCTGAATAAGAATAACATACTTATGAAGGAGCAGAAAAAAATATAAGCACTACCAACATACTTCTGTTGGAAAAAAAAAATGAATACATTCATGGAGACATACTGCATCAACTTGTACTGATTTATTGTTATGAATAGAAGTTCCAGAAATTCGAATAAGTGCAATAGATTCCGCTGTGTATGTCTCATCCGATACACCTTTGTCCTCTATTAGTTTCTTGTATCCAGAGCTCAATCCCCCCTAAAACAGGTATATTAGTTGAAATAGTTTCCTTCGCTAACCTATGCAATATATTATTTTAAACAACATGTAGTTTTTCTCATCATACCTTAAGGACCACCATTGGTTGGAAAAGAGCAACAAACTGTGGTGGCTCTTTGCCTTCAAATATGCGACCCTGCAAGAAACTACTGTAAATAATACACATTTTCCAAGCAACATCCTCAACTTGACATTGTATTATGATACCTGTACAGGTCTACCCTTTAATGAGGTAGACATTGTATTGGTCAACCGAGTAGCTATTGCCTGGTCCTCCTGAAAAGGAAATTTAACCCAAGGTAAAAAGTATTCAAAAACAAACTTGTTCAATTCTACAAAGTGTCGAAGCAGATAATACAATTTGAATTAAAAGTACTGATGAATGAATAATTATGATATAAATACTAGTTACTGAAATGCAATAATTTGTGGAATTGTGCATAATGGTTTTTGATAAGTAATATTTTCAAGGTGAAATCCTACTACTAATATTGCGGGGGGAATTGCTGAAAAGGAATCCTTTGTAAAAGTATTTTCAGTTTAGTAATGACTAACCACTCACGTGGTTGATTAATAAGTTATTCCATTACCCACTCGTTGAACAAAGTTAATGGTTATTTGTTTAAGGTTTCAGATTCCAAAAAATATCCAATAAGAAAATTAGATAAAATAAATTATGTAAAGAATATATATTATGACATCAATTGTATAGGTATAGATTGCTTGATAATATGGCAGGTACTCTCATACTATTCTAGAAATCATGCTAAATAATAGAGTATAGTTTGACCTCATGTATCTAAAAATTAAGTGCCACCAATAAATAAAGCTAAGATAGTTTGAAGTTCTATCTCCATGAAGATTTATCGTATATCCAGAATGTCAATCACAACCAAAAATTTGAACCAACAGTATGTCAATAAAAAACAATGTTTGCCTATAATTGGAAACTCTAGATCAGTCCCAACAGAGTTCGCACTGAAAAGTGAATGTCAAATAGAAATTACAATGTTCACAAGATACCTTGATCTAAAATCAGAAGGACATAAATTACCTCGTTGCTGTCTTTGCCAAACCAACAGGATGTGAGACTTGGGTTTTTCCCAATACAACCCCTCACGTCCAGTACTATTAGGCTTGGTACGTGGATAAATGGTGGGTGACCCTTTTTAATGATCTAAGATTGGCGGGACTTGAGTTTTTTCCAATACACCCCCTCATGCCTATGAGGCATGCATCAATGGTAGGTAACCCATTTAAAGTGGATCTAAATGGCTCTGATACCATCTTAGAATAGTAAATTTAAGTCTAATTCAACCCTACAAAATCGGTTACTTTCCACTTATATACTATTTAATTGCCTAATCTCTAGTCAATGTGGGACTTGAGTTTTTCCCAATACACAAATTAAAAAAAAACACAAAACACATTATTTAATCCATTCGGTACAAAGATTTGATCCAGATTGAATTAGACTCCAATACTAAAAAAAATAAAATCAACTCAAACTCATTAAACATGTTATCCAGTTACATCTCTAACGATTACAAACTTACCCAGTTTGACATCCATGCGTAAAGAAATGCGTCAGCAACCATGCGCCGACGGCACAGGAGTGGTAAAAAGCAGGGCATTTCTGTCATTTCGCTCTTATCCAAAATTCCCTTCAACCAACCTCACCTGCAACAACGTAACGCACTCATAAATATGCAACGCACCCTTTCCTTCACACAACAATGGAAACTCACTGTGGTGCTCACTGGAGTGCGTTTTTTCCCCTACTCTTTCTCTCTCTCTTCTCCACCGTCGGATCATCGTCCCACGCTGCTCCAGCATCGTCCGCCATACGATTCAGACTGGCGCCAGGGGCCGCGGAGAGGCAGGTTCCGATGCGGGCGGGTGCACCCTTCAAGATTGCGGTGTTCGCGGACCTGCATTTTGGGGAGAACGCGTGGACCGAGTGGGGCCCACGCCAAGACGTAAATTCCATCAGGGTCACTCTCTCATCTTATTTTCTTACAAAAGTGAGGTTGATGAAGTTACCGACATGTGTTAAGCATGTTATAGAATTATGTTGGATGTAATTTGATTAATTTTCTAGCTTTGATTGAACCAATAAGATTTATGTATTTTAAGTTATTTACTTTCATTTGGAATTATGAGATTGAATTATTGTAGCTTTGTGATGAAACTTTAACTTATTTGTGAGATTGATGTATTTTAAGTTATTGATTATCTTGAATTTTTATTATTATTTCAACAAAATTAACGTTAAATAAAAGTTCAAAATTAACATTGAATTTTTATTTTTAATATTTCAATGACATTAAAATATAAACTTAAAATTATTTGTAATATAATTTTTTAATTTCTTAAAAATTTTATAAATATTCATGGATATCCGTGGATATCTGTGGGTATTCAAGAAATTCATGGATACCCGCGCGGATATGAGGTGGGTATGTGGCCAATTTTCATTCAGCGGGGCGGGGGCATGTTTACTATTACCCGCCCCCATAGGGCCCCATTGCCATCCCTAAACCCTCCACCTTCACAAGCTAAGATTCCAACCCACAACCCACTTGAATTCAGTTATGAAGAAGAGTAGAAAAGAAATTCAAGTAAGGAAGAAGAAACAAAAGGATCTCTTTCTAGCTTCTCTATAGAGTTATAGAAAACATAAGTTATGCGCTTCCTTTAAAAAAATTTCCTTTTGCACCTTCTCTAAGTTGACTCAGATCAATGTAGTCTTAGAATCTCTTAGTCCAAGAATTCTCGATAACAATTATCAAATCAAGCAACAAAACTATGAGATGAAAATATTACAAAGTTAGGTTGAGTCACACTCTTAGAATAGTGGATTTAAGCCTAACTCAACCCTACAAAACCGGCTTGTAAGGTAAGGATTGCTTTCCACTTATATACTATTTAATTGCCTAATCTCTAATCGATGTGAGACTTGGGTTTTTCCCAATACAACCCCTCACGTCCAGTACTATTAGGCTTGGTACGTGGATAAATGGTGGGTGACCCTTTTTAATGATCTAAGATTGGCGGGACTTGAGTTTTTTCCAATACACCCCCTCATGCCTATGAGGCATGCATCAATGGTAGGTAACCCATTTAAAGTGGATCTAAATGGCTCTGATACCATCTTAGAATAGTAAATATCAAATAGTCCACTTGTCAGTATCGCTAGCTACACAAAATGGTAAGTCAAATTACAAGAGAGAACAAATGATGTGTACCAGCAACTTTCCCCCTTCCTTCCTCATTACCGGTACTAGCATTTCCTGATGGCCAAGAATCAAAATTGCACTTAAATGAATGTGTCTCATAACCTTGAATAATCCTGGTTATCCTCGTAGATTTTGGCCTATTTTGGCTTGCAACAAACTCCTGCAGATATTGGTAGAATTAATGAAACAACTTATAACTAACACACGGAGAACTAAGAAGTTCTACAATCACTTTACCTCAACAGCTTGGCAGGCTGCTTTTCGTTCTTCAACTTGTGTTACCCGGCCAACCCAGACAAATATCTCAGCACCGCAGTCCAGTATATAGCATTTGTTGTTTTCCAACAGTGATTTAGATAATTCACCTTCTACGGGCTTAACCTCACCATCAACAATACTGGATGAACAAGTCATATTAAGTTATTCTTCATTTTAGTGTTATCACAATGAAGCATTGTCAATGACCATATACAAAACTATTGTTATGCTAATCAACGGATGATAACATGATCATACCCTCCAAGTCAATAAACTCAAGTGCCCAGACACTATAAAACATAAAATTCATATGAATTTATATAGATAAAACAATTAAAAAAAAGTGTATGAAAATAAATATTTAAGTAATGTGATGATAATATTATTTAACCAAAAACAATACTGTCCCAAGTATAATTCAGCAAGCAGCAATGAAAAGACATCTTCGAGCTTCAACCAGAATGAGAAGAATTCAGCCATGATTTGAAACATTGTCAATGACCATATACAAAACTATTGTTATATGCTAATCAACAGATGATATCGTGATCATATCCTCCAGGTCAATAAACTCAAGTGCACACACACATAAACACTATGAAACATAAAATTCATATTAATTTATATAGGTAAAACAATTAAAGAAAAGTATGAAAATAAATATTTAATTAATGTGATGATAATATTATTTAACCAAAAACAATACTGTCCCAAGTATAATTCAGCGAGCAGCAAAGGAAACACATCTTCATGCTTCAACCAGAAAGAGAAGAATTCAGCCATGATTTGAATCATATCAAAATATCCTCATGTCACATAAATACTCAGACATTGAGCACAAAATATATACTTGCACAATCATATATGTTTGCTATCCAAATTGATATATTATATAAAGATTTATAGTATAATATAAGTGACATTGATCAAACAATGACATAGGGCTCTATCAGCGAAATTCTCAATAAATATATCTAGAGCAAGGTCCTTTGGATAGCATCCCTAAAAAATTGACATTTTGCTCCCCTTCTTAGTAAGATTATCTTCCCTCATCCATCTTTTGCATTAGATTTCTACTAGTCTTCTCATACTCACCAAATAAGAGCTTATTCAATCTATTTTAAAATAAAATAATATAGCAATTAATTATAAATAAATTTTTCTAATTGTCTTTGATCTTGCAAATGAGATGATTTACAAATTGTCCTATAGTAGTTGACAATTCATTTGTCTTGATGGTAGAATTTGGTCTTTGTTAAGAAAACAAACAACAGAAGTCTCAAATTATATGACCTTATTGAAACAGGTGCTTCAGGTAAAATGCGGAGTGGGGAAGGGGGCTTGAAGAAATCAACTTACCTATAAAGCTGAGCTGGAATTCTCTCTGGAATAATATCGTCCTCGCTGATTACCTTCTTCCCAATGGGAGCAAAACCACCAAAGAGGACCCAAAACTCACCCGAGTCTGACTCGGTGTCTAACTTGCCATCATCTGCGATGTGGGATAGATTTTATGACATAAAAAACAAATGAATGTGCATCTGAAGAATAAAAATACTAAACTATATAATAGGAAAAATGCCCTTACCAACAATTGCAACATCACATTTCCCTTCATGATATTTTTCTTTCAGAAACTGTATAACTTCCAAAGCCTTGGCTCTTTCCTGAATATTTGAATTTGCGCCATTGAATTGATAAATCTTATCCTGAGTGTCTAGTATGAACACATCATCATGGTTCAATGAAGACCTTGCAAAAGGGACCTGTCAAAGAAAAATGTCAAACTACATGCACACCAAATAAATGAAGTTCATGAATAGAGAACACTATACCTGTTTCAATCTAACAACTCTTTTCCCTTTGCATACATACAAACGTGTTTCAAACTCCTCCTCTTCAAGTGTTTTAAACCCAGATGCAACACCCCCCTCTAATGGTATTATACAAGGTTTAAAGTATGACAAGAACTTGTCGGATTCATGTCCTTGGATTTCCCTGTGCTGCACTGCACGCCCTCCAAGAGCAGCATCAAGTTCAACAGTTTTAATGGCTGCAGTTCCAGCCTCATCCTACAAGTAAAATCACAATGTCAACCAAGATTAATATTTTGTCGAAATGATATCAGTTTAAGGATTTCCAAACAACTGTGAACCATGGAATCCCTGGCCCTTACCAAATAATTCAACACATATAAATACTTCTTAAAAAAGAGACAAGGAAAGGGAAAAAATACTGAAACTGGATAGACACAATTTTTGAAAAAGCGCAACTCTACAGGTTCAACATTCTACTCACCTCTTCATTCTAAGGGAATGAATATTGTAAAATGAATTAGCAAAGATTGAAGACGGAGAAGGAGAAAAGCAAAGTCCACAAGCTTACCTGACTTGTATCCTTTCCAAGCCAGAAGTGTAAATCATAAAAATAAGAGCCTCCTTTGCCTTGAGTTGTCTGCAGATACACACAAAATGAACACCTAATTTTATTTTAAAAAACGAAAAGGATAACATCCTAAAATTCACACTTAATGAAATTATGCTAAATGATCTGAATAATTATATTTCACAAGAGGAGATATTGTGCTACAATTTTAGGGGGCAAAAATAAGTAATTTACAGCATTGTGGAGAGACTGAAAAAAATATATCAACTATATTCAGCCTTAAAACCAAACAGCAACACCACATATATGAATGCAACAAGGTGATATTGGATATAGCTCATACCTGCAAGATGATGTACGAATCTCCCATGTAGAATTTCCCATATTCAGATTTGGGTAACAGAACTGGCTGAAAATTCTCAATCCTCCATATTTCAGTTCCTCTATAGAATGTCAAGTTTGAAACCTCTCAAAGCAGATAGCATATTCAATATTCAATAGTTAACAAATAACAATATAACATGAGTGTTGGGCATAAAATCCTCCATGTATCTTTACCCAAAACCTTTTTTCAGGTAACTAGTTCATGACATGGAATCAGAGACTCAAAAACCTTGCAGTAAAGAGTTTGATCCTTGTTATGCCCCATTCTCAGAAATAAAAGTTAATTTTACCCACAATGAAGTTTCTTGCCTGTTGGGGCTTGATATATGGAGGATTTGTGCTTTGGAAATATTTGTTTCACGATAGTAAACAAGCCATGCTTATAGCTGAAAATTAGTTACACGTGGTTTGGTTGTTCTCTCAGCAGTAAACTTTTATTATACTTTTCATCTTTTTCATTAATTATGAAGAAAATTTAAAAAAGAAAATATATTTTCTTTATTTTTTATAAATCACACCCTTTACTAAAAGGATACATCCTTTGACCCACTCCCTGGAATGCAGGATCCAAAATTTTTGCCGAGCTAGACATGGCTAAAAGTTCCTCCTAATGGTTCCTTTCCTTTTCAGCAGACACAATGTCTGGAAATGTAATCCACTGCATGAGGAAAAAAAGGTTAAGAAAAAAAATCAAGAGAAAATCATTCATCACTATGCAGATAAAGAAGTTGCATATTATTAGACTACAATATTGTGCATGAGTGCATGAGTGCATGATTAGAGCTTATAAGTATCAAATGAAGTGTAAAGAACAGCAGCAGCAACAAGCCTTCATTTCCCAAAACATTAAATTTTTTTCCATATCTTTCATCTATAAAACAGGACCCAGACTTAATGATTTCATGTCTGCTTTTGGAGAGTCAATCATAGAAAGCTTATATTTCCAACAGGTACTAAATAAAGGATAAAGAACAACTTTGATTCATTATGTTGATAAAGGACCTTAAAGAAAAACATATCCCCCCTCCAAAAAGAAAAAAAAAATACAATCAATTAGCAAAACAAAGAGATTAGATATTTTATATAGTCCTAAACAGATTATATTATATTATATTATATTATATATATATAAAGGTTAAGATGAAAAACTAAAATAAATTCCCTTTGGATTTTCAGTCAACCAAGTAGTCTTAATTGATTATAACTGAGCACACTGGACAATGCAGTTTTGTTTTTCCTTGGTGAATTAGCTATTTTCCAGAAGAAAGCAAAACTAACAATATATATAAAGACCAGAAGCATCACTTTTATAATGTAAACAATTTTCTAGCAATGTTAATATATTACTCAGGAAGCACATGTTTTTAAGTGCTATTCAATTACATCATTTTAAATTTTGCATGCTAAGTTACTAACACAATTCCAAGGTTTAGCCAGTCATTCTATTCAGTGGTATGAGATCTCTTATCAATTTTCTAAAGCAATATTCAAGATGTAACAACTTAAAATCTTTTGAAGTAATATTTAGCAGATAAAAATAACTCATTGATATGTCTGAATCAAGCATCCATATTGAGGCAGTTAGAAGCAATATATTTCATCAGCCTACGGATTTCATCATATCCTTAACATTTTCCAAAGCCTTTCTCCTCTTGTCAACAACCTTTGCTTATACTCCTTAGTTTCAACCCACTGTAACAAATCCCATTTTAACCAATAATATCCTTCAAATACCAATAAATTAAATTGTCATGTTCTCTCTCTTTTCCCCCCTCCTTTTGCTACATTTATCAATTAGTTAGCATGTGCAATTTAATATGCAAGAGAATACTCTCAGCCCTTCACAGTTGCATTATTTTCACTTTATATTCAGAATTTCAGATGATTGTCTCCCAGCTACATCTTTGACCAACGAAGCAAATCTCAACAAGTTCCGTGTTACCAGAACAACCTATTTATACCATGCATGTCCCAAACTTCTTTGTACTCTAATTAGGCAAATAAACCGAGAGCAGCATTACCAGCTTAACGTATTATTGCTGCAAACTGCAGGACTTCATCAAATAATTGCTCTTCTACAGCTTGCTCCACCATAAATAAAATTTGTCTCAAATCAAAGTCATAAACAGCCAACTCAGGAAAGCTTTCCAATATTTTTCCCAAATCGTAGAACCTATCTAAGATTACCTTTATGGCTGAGCACTTAAATTACTGTGGAATTTGAGCATTAACTTGGGTCGGAGCAGACAAGTATCGAACACCAATTGTAAAATAATATATATAAATAAAAATTAATATATATATATATATATATGAAGGACTTTAAATTTTGAAACTCCAATTACATCTTCGACTTGAATTCTAAGATCTATCAGAACCGTTCATCTAATGTTCATTCAACCGTTGCATTTTCCTCCTCGAATTAAAAGCAAACAGAAAAACACGCCAATTGATCAAACGTTCGAATGAAAAAAAAAAAAATCAAAACAAACAAACTCAAACGTGAGAACACCCAAAAAAGAAAGCACAAAAAAATAACGAAAACGACGAAAAATCAAAACCGATGCCAAACCGAAAATCGAAAACAACACAACACGTCGGAGACGCAAACGGAACTCAATAGAATTACAAAACAAAGAGAACAAAATTCGAATCCATAACACAACACTGTCGACGAAAATGAGCAAAGATCAGCGATTACATATATCGTTAGCAAAGGAACGTGTAATTGAATTGACCAAAGCGTAATTCAATTGACGTATACCTGAGATCTCAACGGCGATGATGAGTTTCAGAGAGAGAGAGAGAGAGAGAGAGAAGAAAAAAAGGAACACAGTTGGAAAAGGAAGTGAATTATTGCTGTTTCTGTGCGTAGTCTTTCTCTCTCCAACTTTTGAGGCTTTTGAGATTTGCAATTCAGAGAGAAAGAGAAGGAAATTGCAGGGAAAGAAAAAAGGGCGTGTCGTGTGTGGATGAATTATGACAACGATGATGGTGGAAAAAGGGCGGTGAGGTGAACGCTATGCGAAAGAAAGAAAAAAATTATTAAATAAATAGACCAATAATCTAATAACGGATATATAGAGAGAGAGAGAAGGCTTATTGTTATTGTTGTTATTTGTTAAGACAAAATTAAGGCAATGGTCCGTTCACAGTGCCACCGCCCATGTTTCTTGCCTTTCTCTTTGGTGTTATGTAATAATAAATTAATTGTTTTCTATGTTTTTCTTTTCTCTTTCTCCTTTCATTTCCGTTACTACCAACGTTTGCTCGGTTTGCTTTTTCTATTGCGCCTTAATTTTGTAATGGATAAAAACTAACCCCACATCTCCTAAATTCGGAGAGTATGGTAGAAGAAAGAGGAAAGGAAAAAAACTAAAATAAAAGATAAGAAATAAATTAGATGTACGAATATAATATTCCATTTATAGTTAATAAAAAAAACAATATTGTATTAACATTTTTTCAATATAAAATTATCAAATCCTTGGACATAAGTATTTTGAGATGAATCTCATTCACCATACCAACCAACATATAAGTACACCACTCTAATCTAATTACTTGAAATCGGCTTACAATGTGTTTGATAAAACTAGTTTAAAGACTAATTGAAAACTTATAAGTTATTAGTTATGAATTAAAAAGTTAGAAACTTATAAGTTAGTTAACTAAATCGAAAGTTTTTGATAATCTTAGTTGATAAGCATCTTGATATATGTAAAAGGATATAAAATAATTTTTGTGTGTTTGGCAAGCAGTTGAGAAGATTATAAGCTTATTTGACTAACTCATAAGCTCTTTTAACCAAAATAAGTTTATTTGGTAGGTGAATTTATTTTAGGAACTTATAGTTTATTCATAAACTACCAGAAGTAACTTATAACTTATAAGTTCTTAGGTTTTTTTTTCCTCCTTCCTTTTTTTCATCATCATTAATTTACTTGAAATCATTTTTTACTATTTTTAGTTTAGAAATCATTTTGTCTACTCTTTCACTTTCCTTATTTAAAAAAATATATGTCATTTTATATTAATCAGCGAATGTTACCAAACACTTTCAATTCAACCAGTTAGTATATAAACATCCAAGTTTTTAGCTCAGCTTATACTTGTAAGCTTTCGACTAGCTTATAAGGTTTCATCTAGCTTATAAGCTAATATTTTCAAAGACACCTTTTGTAATGAGAATGGAAGAATAACATGATAGGAAAAATAGTTTCTAAATTAAAAAGATAAAACAAATTTCAAGTAAATTAATCAAGAGAATAAAGAGAAGAAAAAAACTAAGGGCTCATAAGTTTTAAGTTACTTCAATTAGCTTATGAAATAAGCATAAGCTCCTAAAATAAGCTCGCATAAAATTTTGTACCAAATAAAATTATTTTGGTCAAACTAACTTATAAGTCAGTTAACGGTGAAGATGAAATAAACATATTAAAGGAGTTGAATGTGTGTATAGATTTCTTAATGCTTTTCACAATTGAATAGTTACAAGTTATTAAAACCTTTTCATCCAATAAACGTGAGGGAATAAGGATAGAGAAAAATACTTTATACTTTCTACTAGTTCACTCAATCTGAGCTACATCTAGTTACCTTCAAACTCAAAGGGTTGTATTAACTTGTAAAATATTTACAAGACTACTAATCTCTATGCCACTTCTGGCTACAAACGCAACCACACATTGTAATATTCTTTAACTAGCCTCTTTAGACTTACTACGATATGAAGGTAAGGTGTGTACAAGTTAACTCTTATAGAGAGAATGTATATATTTAGTATACTCAAAGAAGATGACTTGTTAAGGAAAGGGTTGCTAACTTAAGCACTTATCAATTGATCGTTCACTAGGCAATGGTTATAAGACTTTGAGAATTTTTACAGAGTTTGGGCACAACTAAAGCGTTTTTACAATGTCTAATTATTTCCCTTTAAGTCTTTTTGTATTTATAGGCTTTAAATATGTATTTGTTAGTGAGAGCATTTGACACTTGGTCATTTGAAGTGTGAACTTCAATCTTCACAAATATGGTCATTCTTCATACTTGTTCAAAGCTCCAGGTCTTCATAAATGCATAAACATTATAAAGGAAGGTGCATAAAAGACAAGGTCTTAACTTGTTGCTTTAGACGTTGATGTTTGTAGCTTGACTTTCCATTTCTAGACTTTGCACTGGTTTGGCTCATTGTATCATTCTACGCACATACACAAATAAGGAAATAAAGCATAATAACATTTATAATGCATACATAACATCATAGTGCTTATCATGATACTTATTTTAACATTTGAGAGCTTATTAAGGTACTGAGATGTTTAACAAGCATTGGACTTTTGAACACTTAGAGGACACAAATGTTCTTCTTAATGCATTGGACACTAGATGCAAACACTAACAATCTTATGTAACTAAGCCTTTTATACTTGTTCATTTTTACGTAAATGAAGATGATGTTTATTATAAAAACATTTTGGTCTTCATTTTTTCTGCTACCTTAGTTAGATGCATGTATCCTATAATGACTTAGATAAATATTAGTATCTCAAGGTCATTATTTTGTTATCATCAAAATTGGAGTATTAAATGTATATCATCGTCTTTGGCTCAACAAAAGGAGCTTATAAGCTCTTGAACTATCTTGCCAAACACAATACTAGTTTGTTAAGGAAGACATTTTTGACACACTTATAAGCTAGCTTAAGTAAAGTGAGTTTGCTTGATACAAAAGCTTATTTTAGAAGGTTATAGCTTATTTCAATTAGCTATTTAAAGTAACTTATAGCTAATAAGCTCTTAACTTATTTTTTTCATTCCATTTTTATTCATATTAATTTATTTGAAATATTTCTTTTATCCTTTTTAATTTAGAAACTATTTTGATTACATATTATTCTCTCATTCCCATTATCAAATAAACTAATATGTCATTTTACATCAATGAGCTAGTTTATTAGCTAATTTTACCAAACAATTTCAATTCAAATAGTTAGTTTATAAGTTTTTCAATTCTTGGATGGAGGACCATCCATAGAAAGCTCACACTTGAAGACCATTGAGCCTTTAACTAGGTCCATAGTTAGGAGGCTATAGGAGGTTTCTTCAGAGGAGATTTCTTTAGAGGAGATGCTTCTTAGACCTATGCTTTATATGAGCATTGGGTATTGAGTATGATTCCTCTCTATAGTCTAATAGTCTTTATTGTATATACCTTGCATAATACCTTGTATATAGTAGATACTTGTATAGGCTTATTTTTGCCTTTGTATTTGTAAGGTACCTTTATCTTTCTTTGTAGGTCATACCCTTAGGATTTTAGGGTATATTACTTGGAGACTTTTACTTCATTTGACCATGTATTAAGGGTCATAGATTTTCTTATTTTTAGTTTTAGTAATGGGGTAGCAAATAGTAAATGTGTAGGTGAAGCTAGCAATTGGGCCTTTAATGGGTCTAGGCCAAATTTTACATATTAGGCTTGTTTCTCTCCATTTAATTCAACGAATTGATTTAGCTAGGTCTCACCATCTTTTGGTGAACTTAACTAAACCAATTCCAAGATTTTGGATTAGATTAGATGAAGGAAAACAAGCCTTGACTACCCATCCTCCTTCATGGCTGAGTTTCTTTTTTAGCTTCTCCAACACACTTGTCTCTTGGTTAGCCAAGGGGACAAGGTGACACTTGGCACTCCATGATTGTCTCTTCTAGATCTAAGTGTAGACACCAGTTTCTATTCGAGATGAGAATCCAAAGATGGGAAGCTTCTAAAGTGAGAGAAGTGACCCTCAAGGGACTTTGAAGACTCTAGAATGCATCGAGATGGAGCAAGAGGTCTCCAAAAGACATTCCAAGGATCAAACAACCAAGAACCAAGCTTGGATGCTTGAGAAAGGTCATTGTGGTCATGAAAATGGCCGTTCCTGTGATTAACCAAAATGCTCATTCTCATCGTGAGTATAGCCATTCCAAATTGGATTTTTCCATGTAAATTGACAATCCACATTGACACAACACATTTGGTAACAACTTATCGACATATAAGATAAAAAAAAAATTATCTCTTAGATGTTACATCTCATTATGAATACTATAAATGGAGACATAGTCATATGTTCAATTGCTCCATGGACATGGTCCGCATAGCGTCCCAAAACTGCCAACCAAGGATTAATCTACACTCACAGGACGTGACTTTAAATGGCCAAATACTATTTTATACAATCACATGTTTTCACACATTTTCTAAATTCTAATATCATTAATATTCTCATTCCCAGAATGACTTGACATTGGAATGTTTGTAGGTGGAATTTATCGTCACCCTTCAATCATTTTGACGTTGCCAAGTCAGAGCCACCATTTAAGGTGTCTTTGTATTCTTCATTTGAACACAAATATTTATGGTAAAAAAAAATAGTCCAACCCTCTTAATATGTTTAGTAGGGTGAATAAAAAAGTGAGAAATAAAGTATGTTACGTCAAAAGAGAATTTTAGATCCCATTGATCTTAAGTTTCATTGTTAACAAAAAATAAAAGTTTTTGATCAATAAAATAAAGTTTTCAAAATGACTAAGACAAATCTTTTACTAAGACGCAATTGTTAGTAAGACGAATCATGTATAAGATAATAACTTCGTTAAGACAATTGTGTTACTGAATAAGATGAACTTTTAGTCATAAAAAGATATATGCCTTAAATCTCTATCATTTATGATCCCTAAACAAGAAACTGACTATGTCTGAAAGTTTCCTTAACAGATGGAATTTTAAAGACACTTCCTTGGTACTAATGTTCTACAAAAAGAAAAGAAAGACATGTTTTGAATTAGAAAAGGACAAACAAATCTCTACAAATACGAAAAGTTGCAATCAAAAGTTGTTTCATCATTACAACGCCCTTGCATTCAAATCTCTTCGTTTGAGTCAGATGAAGAGCCACTTATTTGAAGAAGAATGAGGGTTCACGCCACCATATAACACCAGTACAACCATTTCCTCAACCTGTCCTTATCTCTGTTGCACCTTCTTCGTCTGTCTCTGTACCAGTACA